CTGCAGAGGTGGTTTTTCCAGTGAAAGGCCGTAGGATTTCGGACAAAAAACGAGCCAGTTTGTAAGTGGGGGAGTTGATAGTAGAAACAATGGGACGAAGAGGTGTATCTTCTTTATGTATCTTTGGCAAGCCGTACAATCTTGGTGGCCTGGCTGCAGAAGGTTTCAACGAGAACTGTTTGGTCTGATCAATTAATGCGGTTGAAGCAGAAATGATGTTGTTGGTTTTGGAGACGAGGCTGTTGGTGGGGTCTCTTTTTATTTTTGTATAGCTGCCATCGTTGAGTAGTTCTTGAATTTTGTTGTTGTATTCTATTTTGTCCATGATGACAGTGGCATTGCCTTTGTCGGCTGAGAGGATGACAATGTCATCCCTCTTTTTTAATTGAGCTAATTCAAAACGCTCATCTTTGCTGATGTTGCTAGCTGGCATCTTAGCGTTTTTGAGGGTTACAGAGATTTCAGATCTTGCTACGTCTGCGATGGTGTCAGGCGATGCCTGACACCATCGCAATCATTGAAGACTTGGTTCATCAAGGACTGAATGCTGGGGTACCCCCCCTGGTGAGACACTGCTTAACCAATACATACTTCACCTGGAATGGAACCTTCTACAAGCAAATTGAGGGCACCCCAATGGGCTCCCCCCTATCTCCGGTTGTAGCCAACATCTTCATGGAGAAATTTGAGATGGACGCCATCCAGACTGCCACTCTACGCCCGACCTTATGGAAGAGGTACGTAGACGACACTTTTGTCATCTGGCCACATGGCCGGCCTGCTCTAGACCAATTTCTCGACCACATCAATTCCATACACCCAGCCATCAGATTCACCATGGAAGTCGAAAATGATGGCAAGCTACCCTTTTTGGATGTCCTAATCAAAAGGAGACCTGATGGTTCAATGAGCCACTCTGTCTACAGGAAAGCCACCCACACGGATGCTTATCTAAAACCGGATTCCCACCACCATCCATCCCAGAAGAATTCCCTCATCAAGACTCTATATCATAGAGCCCAATGCATCTCCGACCATGAACACATTTCCAGTGAACTCAAACACGTACGCCAAGCTCTTAAGGCTAATGGTTACTCCGACTACACAATCCGCAAAGCCATCACTCCAACCATCAAGAAGGATCCTGTTGAGGAGCCTTTCAAGACCATCACCTTACCCTACATTGCTGGGGTCACAAAAAAGATCTCCAAAATCCTGATTAAACACAAGATCCAGGTCCGATTCAACACAGTACATAAAATCTGTGATCTGGTCCCGTCTGTAAAAGATGTGGTTCCAGACATACAGTACCCTGGCGTCTACAAACTAAGTTGCCTCTGTGGTAGCAGTTACATTGGAGAAACCAAACGACATGTCTCGGACCGCATCCGTGAACATAAGGCAGACCTGAAACACGGTAGGACAAACACCTCAGCCGTGGCAGATCACTGTTACAACTCAGTGGGCTCACATGATATTGACTTCTCCAAGACAGAGGTTCTCTGCAAGCCATCTGGCTATCATGAGAGATTCGTTCATGAGGCGATCCACATATACAAACACAGAGACAATTTCAACCGAGAAGATGGATTCTGGCTTAGCAATCATTGGAAGGACGTAATAAACCATTTCGGATCTTAACTGATTGTGTTCACGTTTACGGTGACTTTCAGACCGCGTTCCACTCACTGGCATGGTGCAGTGTGCAGAGTAATGTATGGTGTCGTAATTGTATAGTAAATATATAGCAGTGTGATACACATTAGGGTGGGTAGAATAATACATAGTGTTATATTAAAATGGATAAGGCAGCAACTGCAGCAGCAGCAGCAAGTGCAGCAGCAGCAGTAACAGCAGCAGCAGCAACTGCAGCAGCAGCAGCAACTGCAGCAGCAGCAGAAACTGCAGCAGCAGCAGCAACTGCAGCAGCAGCAGTAACTGCAGCTCCCTTTGATGCTGTTAATCCTGCATAATGCACATGCATATGCAGTACTAATCACATTCCTGCATTTCCCATAAATATGCTAAATTCATTTTGATATGCAAATTCCTTTGTCAATGCGCCCAGCTTATATATATGCTCCAAGCTCGTGTGCTGTTTCATTCAGACTCTGTCGCCTCGACGGACCTGGTTTTCACCTGAGGACGGCTGCTTGCGTTGTGGCCGAAACGTCGTGAGAATTGTTTTATTATGTTTTATTTTTATTATTTTATTACTTCCCTTCTACGTGACTTTACCGAAAGAACCAAGAAGATGAACCGCCGGATATCAATAAAGAAGGCGTGTCTGACGGGCCGCCATGTGATGTCATTCGTGCATATGTAATGAGCACTGTTAAAAACAAGTGCGGAAGACTAATTCAAACGATTCACTCTAACGAAATAATTAGTTTTTACTTTTGATTATATAATATAAATGGTAGTTTAATATTTGACGTGCGAGAATAGTTAATATTTAACTACAGTAAACTATGCAAAACGACCCATAAGGTAAATGTATACGTGCTTTGTATAAGTAACGGGAGAGTGGGTAACGATTCTTTACTCTGGTTTCTCTTCAGAGCGAATAAATCTTTCGCCTTTTACTAAAGATTTCCGTGGAGAGGAACACTCTAATGAGTCTTAAACAATTTTTCGTAACCCTGCTTCTGCAGGGTTCCATTCGTTCAAACAAAACAGAATCAACACTGTGCTGCCATTGATGCTGTACTTGCAGCAAGTGCTGTTATGTGTTCAATGCGACTTTTCGTGTTGGGAGACCAAACCATATGGGAGGAGTTTATTTTCCGCTCGTGATTGGTGTGTTGTCGCAGTCATAAACGAAAGTTTGCAGATAGCCATTTCAAATGCGCATGTTTCCTACTTGTGTTTGATTAAAATTCTGGAGAGTATAAATTACAAGTTTTGTTAAAATGTTTTCCCTTCCAAAAAGCTTTCGGATGTTGACCAAGTTATTGGGCCACGTCATCTTAACTAGATTTATATAACACATTTTACAACGCACTGTACACCAATTATAACATTGTACGTAAGATGATAATGATTGTAAATGAATATTCGGCTGATTGTAAGTGCTCTTGTTGTAATGTCAGTCGAACGGGAGGGATTGTTACAGAGGAGTTGGAAAGTCCTGGTCCTAGCTAGGGGGCGACAGGAAGCTTGGGGGGGAGGAGGGGAGTAATGAGGCATTGTGTTGGGAAGACAAAGGGGGTCAGGAGCAGTGGCGGCTCGTTATATTTCCTTTAAGTGGGGCTGTTGTAGGTGACTTCTGAAAATATGGGGCCATCCATAAATGACGTCACGCGATTTTTGACGATTTTTGACCCCCCCCCCTCGTCACACGGCGTCACAAAAAGTCAGACCCCCCCCTCAAATATGACGTCACAAAGTTCTGCCCCCCCCCCCCCCCAAAAAATAAAACATTGTAGTGCGTATTTAATGTGGCGCTGCACTCTGATGTTGTAGGAGAAAACATTTATTAAAAAGTCTATTTAATTAAGTAGAACGTGTTGTCTATATTTATTTAAAGTTGCGCATTTTGATTTGACGTCACATTTCTGAAACCCCCCTCGTCACACATCGTCACAAATGTCTGAGCCCCCTCCTCCCTAGGTGCGTGACGTCATTTATGGACGGCCCCTATGGTGTTCTAATCGGTTGATCAGGACCCAGTTGTTTGACATTCAACTTCTCCTGCATAGTCAACCTTTCAAATTTAATATTTAGAAGTGACTCCACATTGTGCCTTGCTATTTCTTCGTTTGCTTGCACCTGCTGCCATCGCCATCGCTGTTGTTTCTTCCTGGAGCGTGTCGGCCATGAGCTGCTATATTTGCACAGTGCAACCTCGCGTTGTGACATCGTCTCATTTACAGCCACGGGCGCCTTTTTCACTGCCCTGAATGGGTCTCAAACGGCGTGGCTAAAATGCGAAGCTGATCGCAACGATGAAGGGGGATATCTCTCACTCGGACGCCTTCACAGCTGCCCCGAGACCTCCCTGAGACACAAATCAAACCGCGGCGTTGCAAGCAGCGGTTTCTAATACGAACAACTTAAAATGTTATCTTCGTTTGGCAATTCGCGTTGAAAGAATTGTGACATCTATATATGTTGCACCATAACAAGGTGCTGTAAGCAGCTTACCTGCCACCACGCTCACGGGCCGACAGGGGGCAGCCGAGAGAGAGCGAGGTGCGTAGGGGTTGACCAAAGGTCAAACCCCCTCCCCCCTGGGAGGCCCGTGCCCGGGCTTTGACACCCCAGAACCCCAGGGGCTGGATGATGAGGGGGATGGGCTCCCCCACCCCTTCCTAAGACTCCTTAAGATTTAAGACCCTCTAAGACCTTCCAGAAGGTTCTTGAGGGGGGGGGGTCATGAGGGGAGGGGTAAGCCCGATCTGGGGACAATAAGTAATGTTTAAAAATATTATTTTTTAAACACGCTTTAATGAAATGTTTCCTACTCGTAATGGCAGAACTCCACGACTCTAGGAAGTGGCCGCAAAGCTTGCCATAACGTAAGGGGCCGTGGGTGATTTACAGCCAACGTCAGTTGAGCATGGTCAATTAGACCCAAGCCGAAACATAACATGTAAAAAATATTTTAAAATATGTTTATTTTTTTATGACATAATATAGTATTGTCATCAGTATGACATAAGTATACAAAGTTTGCAGTCGATACCATATTGGGAAGTGGGTTAAAATTTAGTTACAATATTTGAGGATACGACAACAATAACAGAGTGAGTTAATATAAAGCGTGTAAAAAGATAGTTTACATGTTTTGTTTATTTTTTATGATAGAATATGGTATTGTCATCAGTATGACATAAGTATACCAAGTTTGCAGTCGATACCACATTGGGAAGTGGGTTAAAATTGAGTTACAAGATTTGAGGATATGACAACGACAACAACGACAACAGACAGAGTGAGTTAAATAAAAGTGTGTAAAAAAGCCGACCCTCTGAACGGGTCCAGCAGTGTTCGCCAACTCAATCTTGAAGACATCTGAAGCTCTCGTTAGAGCCGGGTTGTAGCGGACCAGAGGTGAGCTCAAACCCCCTGGGACCCTCCCCGAGGCTCTGGTCAGAGCCGGGGTGTAGCGGACCAGAGGTGAGCTTGAACCCCCTGGGACCCTCCCCGAGGCTCTGGTCAGAGCCGGGGTGTAGCGGACCAGAGGTGAGCTTGAACCCCCTGGGACCCTCCCCGAGGTTCTGGTCAGAGCCGGGTTGTAGCGGACCAGAGGTGAGCTCAAACCCCCTGGGACCCTCCCCGAGGCTCTGGTCAGAGCCGGGGTGTAGCGGACCAGGGGTGAGCTTGAACCCCCTGGGACCCTCCCCGAGGCTCTGGTCAGAGCCGGGGTGTAGCGGACCAGGGGTGAGCCCCGTACCCTGCCTGGGACGGGTCAGTCCAGTCTCCCCTTAGCCGCCGTGTGTAGAGTAGCCCGGAGTGTGTAGGACGCGCTAGAAGGGCTATCGGGTTGAAGGGGCCGTACCCCTTCGTGTTACAGCTGCGATTAACAGAGTTGTTATAATAAAAGCGTTGCCTCCAGCAGTCTCCGTGTGGTTAGTTATCGACACAACGTATATATAACAGGACCCTGCGGGGTGGGCTGGTAGGAATAATACTAATACCGGTACAGGGATATCGACCGGGTATAGAGGAGTTAAAAAGAAAATAATTTGTGCATGGGGGGTCAGCGATGACGTCCACACCCCCCTCCCCACTGTCTCGCGCGCACACAGAGCAATGACGTCAACACCCCCCTCCCCACTGACTCGCGCGCACACAGAGCAATGACGTCAACACCCCGCTCCCCACTGACTCGCGAGCACACAGAGCAATGACGTCAACACCCCCCTCCCCACTGACTCGCGAGCCCACAGAGCGATGACGTCAACACCCCCCTCCCCACTGACTCGCGCGCACACAGAGCAATGACGTCAACACCCCGCTCCCCACTGACTCGCGAGCACACAGAGCAATGACGTCAACACCCCCCTCCCCACTGACTCGCGAGCCCACAGAGCGATGACGTCAACACCCCCCTCCCCACTGACTCGCGCGCCCACAGAGCGATGACGTCCATACCCCCCTCCTCACTGACTCGCGCGCCCACAGCAAGGATTGCAACAGGCGATGTCATTGGCTGCGCCGGATGCGACGGCCATCTTGTTTAGTTCATTTAGTTCACGGATCGCAGGGGGAGCGGGCGGCCATCTTGTCAGAGAGACGGACGGCCTCGCGAAGCCTGTCGCAGTAGGCCTCGCGAAGCCTCCTGCACTAGGCCTCGCGAAGCCTCCTGCAGTAGGCCTCATGAAGCCTTCTGCACTAGGCCTCGCGAAGCCTCCTGCAGTAGGCCTCATGAAGCCTTCTGCACTAGGCCTCGCGAAGCCTTCCCTGCAGTAGGCCTCGCGAAGCCTTCTCTGCAGTAGGCCTCGCGAAGCCTTCTCTGCAGTAGGCCTCGCAATGCCTTCTCTGCAGTAGGCCTCGCGAAGCCTTTTCCGCAGTAGGCCTCGCAAAGCCTGCCGCACTAGGCCTCGCGAAGCCTGCCGCACTAGGCCTCGCGCCGTGCTTTTCGTGCACAATTCAGGCAATTAAATGTATCTCGTCTCTGTGTTAATAAATGCATCTTGTCTCTGTGTTAAAAAAACGTGCTGCGTTTTAGTAAAGTAAATTTGAAGCGAAGTTTATTATTACACTTGTTAAGCCAGGAAAGCCCCACTGAGTCAAAAGGTTTTTTTAGGGTCCTGCCAAGTGTTTGCAGTAGGGGGCGATGTTGCTACACCAAATCGAACGATACGAAGGGAGAGATTGAGGCCTAGTTCTCGGCTTTAGGCCTAGCTGTAGGCTTTAGGGCGCTGTGAGTTAATTTTTAATTTAAATGTTTTAATGATTTATGTAAAAGCTTTAAATTTAAATGTTTCTATTTAAAAACATGAGGGAATGTAACATTGTTAAACATAACTCCCTTTCACACACGAGGGGGTACGATACGAAGGGAGAGTTTCAGGCCTAGTTCTAGGCTTTAGGCCTAGCTGTAGGCTTTAGGGCGCTGTGAGTTTTTTTTAATTTCAAAGTTTTAATAAAAGCTATCTCAGGGAATAAGGGAATGTTACACGTGTCATGCCAAGTGTTTGCAGTAGGGGGCGATGTTGCTACCAGGATAGCGTCACTGAGTCTTAAGGTTTTTGTAGGGTCATGCCAAGTGTTTGCAGTAGGGGGCGATGTTGACACACGGACGGACGGACGGACACATTAATCTATTGGTGGTCTGGTCCACTTCGTTCCTACCAGTAAAAGGGAAACGTGTCATTGTGTGTCTGTTCAAAATGATTAGCGTACTTCCCGACATGCAACAAACTTGAAATTTGCCATGTGGGTACTTTCCAGACTGTATACCATGCAAAAAATATAAAAATAGACTTTTGCATTTTTTTGGGGGGGCGGGGGAGGCAATAATGGATATATTTTGCACGCAAGTGAACGGTAACGTCATAACTCTGTCATGTCACTCGCATGTGGCAGCGTGACGCAGTGTGCCTGGTGACGTCACGCACCCCCCCCCCCAACCCTCCGCGTCGGCCCTGTATCCCGCACAAATGCGCGGCTGGGGGGGGAAATAGAAAAAAACTTTTAACTAGCCACGTGGCTAGCTCCCATACTGTACACAATGTAAAACGTATCAAAATTTACTTTTGTATTTGGGGGGGAGGGGAATGACCATGAAGTGTGTGGCCAGAATCGATATCTGGTAAACGTTTGTGGTATCGATTAAATGGGAATAGGCCGATTCTAAAGAAATCTACAACCTTCGATTTCTTTGCTCGATTTAAAGAATTGAATCTTGGCCCGCGAGCGTAAGTTTTTTTTCCACCGGGCGTTGGGTTTTATAAAAAATTTGAGGTAATGATCAAAGTTTTTTTTCATTTGTTTATGTTTTTTTCTAAGTTTTGAGAAGTTTTTCAAAAACATTTTCCCCCGGGCAACGCCGGGTGCTTCCCGCTAGTTTTTTCTTGGATTTTATGTTTGCACATAGTCACTTAAGATGTTTTCTTGTTCATGTTTTTGTTTTTTGTTTGTTGCGATTGCACCCGATTCAAGAGCCGAATGGCTCACAGGGCTATACCTAATAAATGAACTTGAAACTTGAATGATAAAATAATTTCTCATCTCCAGTTGCTTGGTTGGTGCGGTGCCCCAACGCCCTCTAGTGGACGAACCGCACCTGGCCAGGAGCCAGGAGAGCAGAAGAGGCCCAACCGCTCCCCATTGGTCAAATACTATAATTTATGCATAGCGTAAAGTAAATTTGAGTATGTTTCCTATTTCTTTTTCTTAAATAACCCTCGCGTAGACATATAAATGAGAACTAAACAATCACTAATTTAAAGATGGGTTATACAAATATTTAATATTATTAAAGTAAAATTAAATAAAAATGTAGTTACGAGGTAAAGATCCCATAGGGTAAATAGAGCGGGTGTTCATATAAGTACCTACAAGTGGTGGCGTTAAACTTTACTCTGGTTTCTCTTCAGAGCGAATAAATCTTTCGCCTTTTACTAAAGATTTCCGTGGAGAGGAACACTCTAATGAGTCTTAAACAATTTTTCGTAACCCTGCTTCGGCAGGGTTCCATTCGTTTAAACAAAACAGAATCAACAATTTGCTGCAGTACTTGCAGCGAGTGCTGTGTTCAAAACGACTTTTCGTATTGGGAGACCGATACCATATGGGGGGATACTCTTAGGTTTTTGTCGGTAAAAATTAAAATTAATACAAGTAATAATAGAAATAAAATAATAAATCACGACGTTTCGGAGGCAACACAAGCTTCCGTCTTCATGTGGAACAGTCACAGGACGATAGCTGTATCAAGTAAAGAGAAATCCCAAGAGACCCGGACCTTGTATATATACTGGTTGAGGGGGGGAGGAGCCAGGGTAGGCTCCTGGAAAGGAGTTTTTATGTTAAGGTTGGCACGGCTGTGGCTACTGCCGGGACTGAGCCTTTGTTATGTAGACTGGTTAAGCGTAGAGGAGTCAGGGTGGGCCGCGGGAGAGGAGTTGTTATATGGTTGGTGCGGCTACGGCTGCTGCTACTGGGAATGAGCATTTGTTAAGTAGATGGCAGAAGCAGAAAAGCAAGTCAGGACAAAGCAGCCCCGTGCAATGTAGCTGGGTGGGTAAAACTCAAAGCAGGTAACCAGCGTGTGAAAAAAGGAAGAAGCTAAACATGTAGATTTCGATTTAAAGCTTTCGTGACTGCAGGGATTCATCTTCTCCAGGTCTGTCGGGGTCTTCACCTGAGGACCGCTGCTTGCGTTGTGGCCGAAACGTCGTGAGAATTATTTAATTATGTTTTATTTTTATTATTTTATTATTTCCCTTCTACGTGACTTTACCGAAAGAACCAAGAAGAAGCTAAACATGATAAAACAAATCTAGCTGTCTATCAGTAAACTGTACGGTAACTAAAGAATAGTGCCTGTCAAATAAGATGGTCCAAATATGTGTAGATAAATCTGTGTTGCTCTCTCTATGTATCTTTGTGATATCTGTCTGCTTATATGTCTGTTTGTGGTTTTCTGGTTAGATTTTGTGTCGCTATTTCATTATACCTGATGATGATTGCTTGTGTTGCAATCGAAATGTCGTATGCTATTATTTAATTTATTATTTTATCTTTATACGTGACTTTACCAAAAGAACCAAAGAATAATTCCTGCAGTCACGAAAGCTCCAAAATTAAGATAGATACATCTTTTTTGCATGGTTATTTTATTTCTATTATTACTTTTATTAATTATATTTTTTACATACGTGACTTTACCGAAAAAAACCTAAGAGTATGAATCCTTGTAGTCACGAAAGCTTCAAATCTAGAATACATATGGGGGGAGTTTATTTTCCGCTCGTGATGTGGGATTTTAACAGTCATAAAGGAGAGATTAACGAAAGTGTACAGCACAAAATGATAGCCATTTCAAATGCGCAAGCTTCCTACTGGTTCATCATTACTTCTTACTGGTGTTTGATTAAACATTCTGGAGATAATAAATTACACGATTTGTTCAAATGTATTCCCTTGTAAAAAGCTATCGGATGTTGACCAAAATATTGGGCCACGTCATCCTAGCTCGATTTAGCTACGACAGTCCTCCTGCTGTGTTTGTTTTACACCTGATGACGGTTGCTTGTGTTGCGATCGAAACGTCGTGATCTATTATTTTTTCTACCTACGTGACTTTACGGAAAGAACCAAAGAGTATGGATTTATAAAACACCTTTTCCAACGCACTGTACAGCAATTATAACATTGTACGTAAGATGATAATGATTGTAAATGAATAATAGGCTTGTTGTAAGTGGTGTTGTTGTTTAATGGAAGTCGAACGGGAGGGATTGTTAATGGGAAGGTCCTGGTCCAGGCTGGGGGGAGACAGAAAACTTGGGTGGGGGAGGGGGGGAGGGGGGGAGTAATGAGGCATTGTGTTGGGAAGACAAAGGGGGTCAGGAGCAGTGGCGGCTTGTGATATTTCCTTTAAGTGGGGCTGTTGTAAGTGACTTCTGAAAATATGGGGCCGTCCATAAATGACGTCACGCGATTTTTGACGATTTTTGACCCCCCCCCCCTCGTCACACGGCGTCACAAAAAGTCAGACCCCCCCTCAAATATGACGTCACAAAGCTCTGCCCCCCCCCTCAAAATAAAACATGCTTCAAATCGCAAACAACTACGCTGGTTTGGTCGTCTGCGTGCGTATCTGGACGTTAATTTATTAACGGACCCGCCCAAACAGCTCGCTCTGATTCGATGAAAATAAAACAGCCGGCAAAAAGCCACAGCTCACTTTGATTCGATAAAAATAAATAATTAACACGCCCCGAAGAGAGCGATAGCTTAGGTTTGGCAAGGTCTGTGCCGCAGTGGTGCAGTGCACTGTGGGCGCAGACCCTGCGCTGTGTGAGTGTGGTGTGTATGCAAGTGTGCGAATGGTAATTACGCTAATATTACGTATATTTATGTAAAAAATGGGTGCTGCGTGCTGCGATTAGTGGAGTCCCCAAACAACTTTACCTTACGAGTAGGCAGGGCTCGCTATACAGTAAGTCTTAGCGGACTGAGCTGGCAGCTTCACCTGCCGGGACCACGGCCAGTTGCGTAGCGCCCCCTACAGTTTCGCCCATGGGTCAATACCCCCATCATGGGGCAACCGAGCTGACTGTTTGATGGATACAATGGGTACTATCCGGCTTATTACCATTATTATGTATTGACGTTCATCACGTCTCCATGGACGGCATGCTGCTGCTGGTAAGGGCATGTGTTGCATAATATGCAGCATGTGTCCGCGTATCATGTTTGCCACGGATGCAGTTGGCGTTACTGTACATTTATGATGTTTTGGAGTGGCAATCCCATGCACTTTGAAATGTAATAAACTGTCAATAAGTTGCATTCTATTGTTGAATAAGTTGCATTCTTGAATATTGTCGATTGAGCGTCTCATAAAAATTCATATAACCTCACAAAAATAAACATAAAACAATCACCAAAACATGTCTATTGTGTCCAGCCACTTTCAACTCCCCACCAACCAAGCATATACACACCGCCCGCGAAGCGGGCGGCAACTGCTAGTCGCTTTAAACTATTGTCATTGCAATGTGTATTTAATGTGGCGCTGCACTCTGATGTTGTAGGAGAAAACATTTATTAAAAATCTATTTAAGTAAATAGAACCTGTTGTCTATATTTATTTAAAGCTGCGCATTTTGATGTGACGTCACATTTCTCAAACCCCCCCTCGTCACACATCGTCACAAATGTCTGACCCCCCCCCCCCGAGGTGCGTGACGTCATTTATGGACGGCCCCTATGGTGTTCTAATCGGTTGATCAAGACCCAGTTGCTTGACATTCAACGTCTTTCAAATGTAATATTTAGAAGACTTCACTGTGTTCCTTGCTAATTCTTCGTTTGCTTGCACCTGCTGCCATCGCCATCGCTATACTCTTTGGTTCTTTCGGTAAAGTCACGCCGGTGAAAAATAAAAAAAAGAAAAAATTATAATAATTTAATAATTAACTCGCGACGTTTCGGGCGCAACACAAGCGCGGCCGTCATCAGGTGGGACACAACAGTTAGACACAACTGCTGAACTGGGCAAGAAATCTGCAGTGAAACAAGACGCTTTATAAATAAGAGAGGGGTGGTAGGAGCCAAGGAGGAGATACAGAGTGGGGGGTGGGGGTGCGTGGGGCGGGGCGCAGGGAGATTAAAGATAGAAAAGGGAAGACACTAAACATGCAGCAATGGACAACAACATCATGTAGTTATGGTGTCACCTGATTAATAACTTATTTCAAATGATTGCTCAATTTGTTTATTTATTATTTTATTTATATTTTTCACCTACGTGACTTTACCGAAAGAACCGAAGAGTATGGATTCTTGCAGTCACGAAAACTTCAAATCTAGAATAAATCGCCATTGCTGTTGTTTCCTCCTAGAACGTCCATTGGTGGGGAACCTTTTATCTGGCAAGGGCCATTTGGATATTTATATAACATCATTCGCGGGCCATACAAAATTTTCAACTTAATAATTAGCCTGTTATATTTGGTCAAACATTTAATTAACTCACCCCTAATGCGATGGGCTGCAACTGCTTCTCTTTGGCGAGGCGTGTGATGTTAGCGGGTATTTATGATGTTGCGACTCGCAACTGCTTTTCCAGGTTTGCTCCTAGATTTATTGAATTTCGAGTCCTGCCTGCGCTTGCCTTGGCAGGGCCACCAAATTATTTCGCGGGCCTCATACGGCCCGCGGGCCGGACGTTCCCCACCCCTGATGTAGACCGTTGCACAGTGCAACCTCGCGTTGTGACATCGTCTCATTGCAGCCACGGGCGCCTTTTTCACTGCCCTGAATGGGTCTCAAACGGCGTGGCTAAAATGCGAAGCTGATCGCCACGATGAAGGGGGATATCTCTCATTCGGACGGACGCCTTCACAGCTGCCCCGAGACCTCCCCGAGACACAAATCAAACCGCGGCGTTGCAAGCAGCGGTTTCTAATACGAACAACTTAAAATGTTATCTTCGTTCGGCAATTCGCGTTGAAAGAATTGTGACATTTTATGATAAAATAATTTCTCATCTCCAGTTGCTTGGTTGGGGCGGTGTCCCAAACGCCCCCTAGTGGACGAACCGCGCCTGGCCAGGAGCCAGGAGAGCGGAAGAGGGCCAACCGCTTCCCATTGGTCAATTACTATAATTTATGCACAGAGTGTAGCAAATATAGTATGTTTCCTATTTCTTTTACTTAAATAACTCTCGCGTAGGCATATGAATAAGAATGAAACAATCAGTAAGTTTAAAAATGCATTATACAAATATTTAATATTATTAAAGTAAAATTAAATGAAAATGTGCTCACGAAGTGAAGGTCCCATAGGATAAATATAGTGTGTGCTCATATAAGTACCTACGAGCGGTGGCGTTAAGCTTTACTCTGGTTTCTCTTCAGAGCGAATAAATCTTTCGCCTTTTACTAAAGATTTCCGTGGAGAGGAACACTCTAATGAGTCTTAAACAATTTTTCGTAACCCTGCTTCTGCAGGGTTCCATTCGTTCAACCAAGACAGAATCAACATTGTGCTGCTATTGATGCTGTGCTTGCAGCAAGTGCTATGTTCAATGCGACTTTTCGTGTTGGGAGACCAAACCATACGGTGGGGGGGGGGGGGCCTTATTTTCCGCTCGTGATGTGGGGTTTGAACAATCATAAAGAAGAGTTTTACGAAAGTGGACAATACAAAATGATAGCCTTTTCAAATGCACCAGCTTCTTACTGGTGTCTCATTAAACATTCTGTCTCTACGTGGAATTACACTTTCACAATTTCTAAGACATAAGAAGTGAGACTACTCACACCCCACAATGTGTTAAAATAGTGAACCGTTGGTACATGCTGAATGCACCGAGCGTGGTATTTTGATTTAACTCCTATTTTGTAGTACTTTCAATTATAACGAGCTCTATTTCATCTCGAGAGGCTGTCGCAATGCGATCGGACACCTGTCGATAGACGAACTAGTGAACGCAGTTACAACTCAAAACCATCATTTGCGCCGTTGTCGAGAGTATAAATAGCTAAATAAATAGCAGCAATAAAGGAGATGTTGAGCGAGAATAGTCTGTGATGGTTCGGACACGTGGCCAAGAAGGCCACAAGAACACGTTAAGAAAGATGATAAAAAATGGGAAGATAGAAAATAGTGGGATTTTGCGAGAAGTTGCCCCACGAAGAACACGAAAGCCACGTCGTGGAAATGCAGAATCACTGAACCGGAATTGATAGCTTGAAAGCATTTAGCGCGGGGCCGTTGAAACTGCGGGGCCCGTAGCATATGTAGCTACTTGTGCTACTCGGATAATCCGGCACTGCTCACACGAGGTCGTCTTTTACCAAGTACCTTTTGCAAGCCCTTCCTCAGGAACTGTCTACACTGATCATCTCTGAGTCCGTAGATAAAAGAGCCCAGAAACCTGGGAATGACAAACATAACCACGTACATGCTCGTTTGACCGATTGCATATTGCATGCTCTCATCTGAGCCGTCCCAGATTTCGTAGATGGGAATGGCCAAAAAGGTGCTCAGGTAGAGAATCAGCTGCAGCGCGTGGAGCTGGATGGTCTTGCGGGCCTTAACGAAATTCGACTGCTGCACCGAGGCGTTCTTGGCAGCGCGGATCACCCGCACGTAGCTTGCGATGGTGATGGCGCCGGCGACGATGAGCAGCACCCCTGACTCGGTGAGCCGCAAGCAGATGAATGTGTAAGCGTTTCCGAAGAGTTTTCCCAGGTACATATTGTTGCAGTTCGACACGGTGGAGAATAACGAGAGGTCGTTCATGAAGAAGAAACTGGCCTCGATGACCACGGAGATGCTCGGAATGATCCAGATGACAACCAGACACCTGGGAAGAATTACAACAATGGGAATAAGGATACGGGGGGTTGGAGGGGGGCAGAAGTTTCTGCATTTGTATCATGCTAAGATACCTCAACATCTCAAAAGGCCTTACATTTCATATAATCTAAAACATTACTATTCCCTGCGGCAATCTAGCCAAGGGGACCCCCAGTGGGGGCCACCACAAATGAGGTCGTCTTACTCAGAGACCCATAGAAAAAGATTAATAATTCACGTTTATAGAACACTTAGCATCTTAAAGTACTTTACAGGTCATCTCAACCATTCCATCGTGCCGCATAGGAAAGTTCGAGAGAGGGTGCTCAAGGAGCATAAAAAGGTAGAGCATGAAGTTACGAGCCGCCGAATGAAGATCCGAGCCTAGTACAGTCACCGTGTCTTAAATAAAGAGGCTCCAAGAATACCGTCGTCGGGGACATTTCACATGTACATGTCTGCATAACTTATTTCGCACGGTACGTAGCCAACCGTGCTAATTGGAGGTGCGGGGGAAGGACAAAAAACTGAACGCAAAAAATCAGTAAATGGATCTCGTCTATTAGTAGGGGCGATGTTGCAATGGGGGGTTTTTTGTTCCCCCCAACGAAGCAAATTGTGGGTAATTTGAAAAAATGATCGGGATTGTGACATCGGCACACATGGTTACCTCATTTTCAAATCAAGTCATGGGATCTCTCATATCCACTGTCAAGCAGACGGCACGTATATATGTTTGTTGCAACACATGCAGTCTTAAACCAGGGAATCTGTGCACCTCTGCAACATACCGTAAAGGCGGTATTCAATCTTCCACGTAACCACGCACAAAATAGGTTTTGCACCTCCGCTCAATAAAAGGTAACTCATTTTTACACGCTTTTTTTTTATTTAACTCTGTTGTTGTTGTTGTCGTATCCTCAAATCTTGTAACTAAATTTGAACCTACTTCCTAATGTGGTATCGACTGCAAACTTCGTATACTTATGTCTTACTGATGACAATACTATATTCAATCATAAAAAACAATATTTTTAAACAATCTTTTTTATATGTTATGTTTCGGCTTGGGTCTAATTGTCCATGCTCAACTGACGTTGGCTGTAAATCACCACGGCCCCTTACGTTATGGCAAGCTTCGGGGACACTTCCTGGAGTCGTGGAGTTCTGCCATTACTCGTACGGTACATTTCATTAAAGCGTGTTTTAAAAAAAGTATTTTTTAATATTACTTATAACACTTGCATTCACGGCCTGGAACTCCCTCTGTCCATTGGCACTGTCCAAATGTGCTAAACTTGATAAATTACCCACACATTGCTTCTTTGGGAAAACCACATCGCAACATCTGCCCCCTACTTAGTAGGTGATGCCCAGTTACAGTCTGGTTGCTGTATTATACATCTTGAGCCGTGTAGGGATATTTACCTCTGGAGATCCCCGATGCAGTATACACTGCCACAGGTCAAAGAATGGTTGAGATGAGATGTGATGAAGGGAGCCTTTTGAGAACCCTTTGAATGAAAATCATTGTCTTCATACGAAGACAAATATGTATTCTAAATTTGACATCAACGGCGCGAAATTCATGTGATAACATTTCTCATGACAATAACATTGCTTTATTGCACTGTACTGACACACGGGTCTGAATGTAGGTAACAGCAGATGTTGTACACCGCAGAAATTAGGATGACAAAATCCATTTCAGGGACCACAATACTCGATCTGAAGATGAAGAGACGAACAGGCAAGAGCGGTGGTACCAATTCAAAGATAAACTAAACTGAAAGGTGATTTAGACGGCTAAGACATGTGGTACTAAGAGGGGAAACCCAGAATTAGAACGGAAGGTGATGACCATTAAAGGGCCAAGATGGAGACCGAGAGGCAGACGTTGATGGAGGAGGTTCTAAGTAATTAACCAGAATATGAAGGACTGTGGAGTGGACATGGAGATGGCCCAATACATGGGATAACCGGGAATATTCCCCACACGAGTGGGATAAATGCCAGGAAGAAGAATGTTGAAAACAGCAATTTCGTTTGCCATGTAAACACCAGCAGCAGACAACGCTAAATAATGGAGGGGAGAAATTAAATTCCTCAAATCACTTCCTGGAGAAGCTCACAGCACGGGGAATAAAACGTTGGACCTCCTGCTGACCAACGTGCGATACAACCCTAAAATACATAAGAAGTGCTCAGTTTAGGGGCCGTCCATAAATGACGTCACGCCATTTTGGACGATTTTTGCCCCCCCCCTCATCACACGGCGTCACAAAAAGTCATTTTATTATTTCCCTTCTACGTGACTTTACCGAAAGAACCAAGAAGATGAATCCCTGCAGTCACGAAAGCTTTAAATCGAAATCTGGTAGAATCATTAAAATAAAAATGTTGAATAACTAAATGTTTGCTTCTTCATTCTCCGATGAAGAAGCAAAATGCTCCTTCATGGAATAAAAGGTGACCTTAGTAAATTTAAATAATCAAATAGTTTGTAATGAAAATTAATCAAAATTAGTGTTGTTATAACAATTATATTTCATTAAGTAGAACGTGTTGTATATACTTAAAGTTGCGCATTTTGATGTGACGTCACATTTCTCAACCCCCCCCCCTCGTTACACATCGTCACAAATGTCTGACCCCCCCCCACCCTAGGTGCGTGACGTCATTTATGGACGGGCCCTTATAGCAAGGTAACTTTATACTCACATTGTGTTTTATATTAGATCACATTTACGGGAGTCAGCGCGACCCTCCATTACAGAAAGGCGGACAGAGCGGATGCCATTCATGAAGTCAACCCCTTCGTGGAAACGAGTTCTTATAACTGGCACCTGCGAATTGCAGCCCTGTTGATGAGGCTGTGGTATCGAAGCGGGTGGCAGATGGCGACGTAGCGCTCCACGGCCATAACGGTGATACACCCAACGCCGTTGACGATGCACATTATGGAAACGGTGGCGAAGATGATGCACTCGGTGATAGCGATGCTGTGAGCACTGTTGAGCTCACGGAACGCCTGCAATCCGACAGCGACGATGAAGAAGACGTCCACAACGACGAGGTTGAGGAAGAAGATGTGGCGGGCGCTGTCGCGTAGGCGTGGTTCGCACCAGAAGAAGAACAAGACGAAGAACATGAGCAGAAGAGACGGCAACACGGCGGAGAACGTGACGATCTGGGTGACGTGTTTCACATATAACAACCAATTTTCGGAATCGGTGGCATTGGTGGTCGCTGTGGCCAGCGAGGCGTTTGCTGTCGACATGTTTCTCAACTGTGGAGAGAGGGAATGGGAATCGTTTAGAATACTTTCCAGCTGAGATTCAAAGCGTGTAGTAATAATAATAGTAATTAACATTTATGAAGCGCCCTCAAACGAATTGTTCTCGGGGTGCTTATGCGTGGCAAGGCGAAAAATAGTTTAACAACAACGAAGGAAATAAGAAGTGAAAAAGACGTTGAAAATAACCAACGAGAGAGAGACATTTTAAACAGATACGTTTTTCGTCAAGATTTGAAGACTTGTAAAGTGTCTCTGAAGTCCGAACCTCGAAGGGCAACGAGTTACAGAGTTTAGGTGCGGCAATTGCAAAGGCAACGATCACCCAACGTGTAGTTTATGCATCAGAGTGCTCTTCGTGCGTCTGTAAGTAACAGGTAGAAGGAGGAGGTCCATGATAGTACTTCTAAACTATTAAGGAATTACCGCAGAGAAAACTGGTCACGTCGATTACGTAATCCGTGCGTAGGCATGGTTTAGCCAAACTTGTTAATTCAGCGAATTGAACTCCAAAATAAGGTGTTATGCTAATCTAGTTTGGATTATAAATGTTGTGGCTTTGCTCTCCAACACAACGATGTGCTGTACTAGTAACGAATTGGCACGTTCTGTTTACGTGACAGCCCTTACTAATTGGCTGTGTCGGGTGGTGGCGGGTTTAGCGACACATTTATATTTACGCGATCTAACCCAAAAAAACCTATATCATGTATGCTAATCTACTCCTCACTAACTGACAGTGCCGGATTAAGCTAGTGCGGGGCCTGTCGTATATGTTATAAAGGGGCCCTAAAAAAACCACATAAATATGAAAACACAAATTTGTAACTTGCATAGTAAAGTAATTGTATTTTTTTTTCTATACAGCCAGATAATACGACAAATCGCTAAACTTAGACACCCAGTCGTTCATAAAAGTTGAAGGCAGTATAGTACTATAGTAATAAAGCAAGTGCAGAATCACTGAACCGGAATTGATAGTTTCAAAACATTTAGTGCGGGGCCCTTGAAAGTGCGGGGCCTGTAGCATATGTAGCTACTTTTGCTACTCGGATAATCCGGCACTGACAATTGATCGATACTGAACTGCATCAGTGCCGCGGCAATGTCTCAGGTCTGCCGGCGATATTAGATCAACAAACGACACACATGGCAATGAAATGAAACAACAAAGACGCACAACAATTAAACAGACAAAACCCACAAGCCGTTGAAATGAGCACAATAGACAGACAGAGATCCAAATAAAAACATGGAACAGATGGCAGAACGGGCGCGCCATCCTCACAATTGCCAATTAAACGCACAGGCAGACGACAGTCGCACACACAAGGCGCATAGCCTTAACAGACTTGTAGGGGCAAGCGCTGTTAGCGTGCACCGGCTGACACAGACAAACACGCAACACCCCCCCACCTACTTAGTTAATTAGCTGAGCCGTATGCACCCCCCTCCACCCCTGATGAGTAATTAAACCCGAGCCTGACGCTTATGCCGTTATAATTGTTGAGTCGTGAGCGGGACCTTGGGAACCGACGCACGGCGATCGAGGGGAGAGTCGCGCCCAGTGCCGGATTAAGCTAATGCGGGGCCTGTAGCATATGTTATAAAGGGGCCCTAAATAAAATAAAAACCCGTAAAATGTCTTGCTGTGGCTGTCCTACCTAATGACGGAGGCTTGTGTTGCTTCCGAAACGTCGTGATTTAATTTAGTTATTTTTATTTTTTATATTTTTTATTTTCACCTACGTGACTTTACAGAAAGAACCAAAGAGTATGGATCCATGCAGTCACGAAAACTTTAAATCTAGAAGAAACCCATAAATGTTAAAACACGTCCATTTTGAATTTACATAGTAAAGTAATTGTATTTTTTTTTCTATACAACCAGATAATACGACAAATCGCTGACCTTAAACACCCAGTCAATGTTGAAGGCGGTATAGTACTATAGTAATAGAGCAAGTGCAGAATCACTGAACCGGAATTGATAACTTGAAAGCATTTAGCGCGGGACCCTTGAAAGTGCGGTGCCCGGAGCATTTGTAGCTACTTTTTGCTACGAGGATAATACGGCATTGGTCGCGACGCTCATATTTTGTTTGTTGCAGTTGCACCCGACTTAAGAGCCGCATGGCTCACAGGGCTATATACCAAATAAATTAAACTTGAACGTACGCCATTTCCACATTAGCGTGACGGCACAAAGTGCGTCTCGAAGCAAGCGTGTATCGCTCGAGACGCATGCCCGCACACACACACACACCATCGTGATCATCATCAGCCATGATTAATCCACCGCTGGATGAAAGGTCCGCAATGACTGTTGTCGATGGTGCAGTGCGGTCGCGATGATGGCGCATGCTGCGACGTTCATAATAAAGGGGGTTTCTTGCAGGTGGATCTCTTCACTCTTCTGGCAAAAATCGCCCGATGAAGCTGGATGTAATTACCAGCGAAACGACTGCTCAAATCGTAAATGTTGTGGATTTACTTTCCAACACACCGGTGTGCTGAACTAGTAACTAATTGGCACACTTTGTTTACGTGACAACCCTTACGAACTGGCTGTGTCCGGTGGTGGTGGGTTAGAGAGACAAAGGCGGTCGGGCGCGGTCCTGACCACCCACCCCCTCGTGTGCCAGGGATTTACCCGTACAGGCTTAACAGACTATTGGAGCAAGTGCTGTTGGCGAGCATCTATGGAGGCCGGCACGGCACACGAGGCGATGTGTGTGCAGCATATAGGGCAGCGGACCGCATCCTGCCAACCGCTTGGTGGAGTTATTAAGGGCCCACTTTCTCGTATTCACCACGTGCATCGCGGCTCTCGTCCCATGATGTAGCTGCTCACCCCGAGCTCTCAATGTTCCGACAGTGGCATTGTCTTTGTGCTCTTCGCCTTTTGGCGTCCTCTGGCTTAACGCTGCTTTTTCTCTCCTGATGACGATCGCTTGTGTTGTGATCAAAACGTCGCAGTTTTTATTTTATTTACTTATATTGTTTCTATCTACGTGACTTTACCGAAAGAACCAAGAATATGAATTCCTGCGGACACGGTAGTTTTAAGCCAAGATTTGGTCTCACACTGATTGAGCCGAGGCTCAAAGAAAGCTGTCTCTGGTGTGGACCGATCATTTTCAAAGACAATGCATTTATTATCAGAGCATCTGTTTAGTTTGTTCACAAGTATATGTGGTTAATGCAGACACGATTGCTTGCAAAAGGTTTCAGTTTGGTGTTTTAATATCTTAACACAGCTGTATTATTGCCAGAAAAGGCCAAACTTATTCGTATACTCTTATGGCTCTTCTTGTTACTTTTTAGTTGCACTCCCCTGATATAGGGCATCATCACGCCCGCATCTCGCTGCCATCATTGGCGTTTCTGGCGTATCGGTGCGTCTGTGTTTAAAGGCGGGCGGGTGTGGCGTTAGCCACCCAATTCCTTGTGGGTCGTGTGGGCCTTCATTCGAGTTTATTCGATGTGGTACATGGATAGGTGCTTGCTTAACAGCGTTTACTTGACCCAGCGGCCTTGTTAATGTCTATACGAGAGACCTGCGTATACGTAATGTTTGTGAGCGGTGGCGCAGTGGTTAGCGCACTGTGCTACTAACCCAGCGGCCCGGGTTCGATTTCTGCTCACGGTCAACCACAGTCGCGAATATTTGGACCTGTTGACTCAGCCTCAAGTTCGTATCTGATGTGGTGTGTTAAAAACACCAGCACTGGCGAGACAAAGGTACATTTTCCATCCAGGCGGCGCTGCAATTCAATAAGCACATCACTGTTGTTAATTATATCGTCGTAAATACCGTTAACAGATGTTATAAAAGGTTACCAAACGTTTATATAGTAGAATGCGATGTTAATGTTACGATCGTTTGAAAGGTTATCGGTTTGCTATAGTACAATGCCATGTTGTCAATATTTTAATAATATGTCGTGTAGTTATAAGTAACCAACCATAAAGTATCACAACCCTAAACCACTCAACAACAATATCATACATCGCGACAAGCGCGCCAACGCATCCCACACGTGCAAACACAACTGCTCAAACGCAATTACAAACGACACAACCACCACCACGACACATCACGCGAACTTCGACCATCCTCACAGCAGCAGCAGCAGCAGCGGCTGCTTTTGGCTGCTAAACCGTCGAACAAAGTCGGTGGTCACCGCATCGCGTGGCGCTTTCAGATGCGCTTTTGCGGCCCGCCTGGAACGCTGGAGCTATGCACTTTTAAATAATCATCTACATTGACAAACTCATCTCTTAGAACTTGATTTTTGTGTGCTGAGTTTGTTATCCTTACCGTCGATTGGCACGGCTGGCTGCGTGCGAAAGAAGCTCGACACACGAGTACACATTATCACATCTTAGCGGAATGTATGTAGCGGATTTACGAATAATTAACAGCGGTACAACAACGTATGCGTGTAATGGTGGAGACGAAATGAACAAAAGAGAAGAGGGGACGCGATGGGGGCAAATCTGCGATGCGTGAATTGGGTGAAAGCGAAATTGATGACAGTGAATGATGGTGGACGGATTGAATGAATTAATGAATGGGGGTGAATGAGTGATCGCCATAAAATGAAAATACGAAAACGGGAAGAGTAACGGTGGCGGTTATGAGGGGGTGATTAAGGGGGTCGTGGGGTGATCTAGGGAAACATTAACCCGTAAAAACAAAGTTTTTCACTATAAATCCTTTATATGCGTGTTCAATGGGCCACACCCCAGCCCACATTGGTCTTTGAAACGGGCGGCTAGAGTCCTCTCGTCCTCTGGCTTGAGATGGCTGCCACCTATGGGTCAGATGATTGCCTGCCACCATTAAGCAATTGGTAATTAAATAGAAAAAAATTTTACCTAAAAAGTGTTAAAGTTTTGAACAAAAATTTCACGAAAAGAAATTGTCACGCACAACGAGTCTGTGTGCAAAATGTCAGCTCGATTGGATCATGGGAAGT